GTTACTGCTCTTAATCTGCCACAGCTTGCATCTGCTAAGTTGATAAGTAAATCTTGTTTACCCATCTTACTAAGGTAATAACTAAATCCTGTTCGTGTTCTCATTGTTGTGGATTGTACTAGATCCCTTGTTCACTGTTAAAGGGGACACAGAAAAGAAACAGAGCCCATCCACCACTGAGATGGCACTCAGTTTGTACAAAACGTCACAAAAGTTCATCTGGCAGCTCTTGGACAAACTACGTCAAGTGCTCTCTTCTGCTGAAGCTGCTTCATTTGCTGCTGACGTTTTTGGAGAAGCCTGGCTCTTTGCTTGCCCTTGCCCATCTCAAGAGCGTGTGTAGCTTGCCTGATCTCAGCCACTGTGAGGAAGATAGTAGCAGAGGACAGTCGAGAAGTTTAATATTAATCTTTAAAGTTGAAGACAAGCTTGGTAGGTAAATCTTAGGTATCCGCGAACCTTTTAGCTCTCAAGGAGAGTGTTAGTGAAAGAGAGCAGAGCAATCTGAACCCATGTTAAACAAAGTGGCTGTAAACCTGTCATTGCTGGAGGATTTCTGCTAGCGTAAAGAAGATTTGTAGTTAGAGAGGAGGAAAGGAGATGTAATTCCAGTTCTTAAAGAATTGTGGTGATCCTGTAAAAGTGAAGCTGGAGGTAGAAATCTGTGTTTTACTCTAGAAAACATTAATAAAAAGGGCTGTTGAAGATGACTTCTGTATGGCAGAAGTTTAGGATACCCTAGGAAATAGTTTTACTGTCTCACTCAGCACAACAGCTTTAGGCTAGATGGTTAATACAGTATTTACCTCGGAGCAAGTGGGGTGATTGGAGTCTGGTGCTGTAAGTGAGGGCTGCCCAGTGCCTAGCAACTCGTGTTGTCACACTGGCTCGCCTCAGCTCTGATAAGAAACCAAGATATTTTCCTCCAGAACCAAATGGAAAAATAAGAGTGTGGGGCACCGGCAGCGTGCACGGTGCAGAATGTTTGGCACAGTGTTGGTGTGGGAGCCTGGTGCAAAAGCACTCCAAAGAAGAGGGAGAGAGCTGGAAGCTTTTTTGGCCCTTCTGGTGTATTTTTAAGTAGTTGTATTTAAGCATGAAAAGAATGCAATGGATAAGGACAATAACAGGGAAAATTAAAAGCCCCTGTGTCCCCTTCTTTTCTTCTGCCTTTGAAAATAAATCTTTTTCTTTCTTCAGTCTTTTTCCTTCAGAACATTCAACATATTATTTTTTTAAGGTGAGTCTGCCACATGAGTTTGCCAGGATTACATGTTACTCAGGAAATAGCGTTAGTGTTTGGTTGATATTTAAATGCTGTTTGATCTTGAATACCCTGTTCTTCCCTTTGGACCATTAGCAGCAGCGTTCAGCATTCAACAGCCCTCTTACCACTTGCAATACCTCTCAATTTGGTGTTACTGTGTTCAATAAGGAAACTAAAAGAAATAAAATAATTGCTTTCTGGCCTCCTAAGTTCTTACTGTGTATATTTTTTTCCCCTTGGTAGACCAGTGTTATCCTGATAAGCTGCATAAATGGCTGTGCTATTTGATGTGTGTTTCACTCACGTACTGTGTTACTGTTGTATGTAGCTGGAATCCATCTATGTTTGCATTGTTTCATAGCACATACTGGTCTTGCAACCTCTGATGCTGATGTGGAACAATACCGGGTGGTTCTGTGAGAGTCAAGTGAACAGTTTTGCTGCAGTAAAAGTCTGCTAACAAGAGAGCTGAGATGCATTTGTGAAAATTCTAAATTAAGGAGCAATAATCAGCGTTTAAATCATAATGCAGTAGTAAGAGGGTATAGTACTTACATGGGTATCAGCATGTAGCTTGTTTTTGTTTCTTTGTGGTTTCATGAATACTTGTGCACTGTTATGTATGTACTGTAGAATATGGGGAAGTTATAAGGGTAAAGGCTGGAGCAGTTTTTTGCTTTTAGCCCCAGAATGAAGTTTGGACTACAGATGGTCTCAGGTGTCTCTCCTGGGCCATGGTTTGTTAAATGGTAAGGAAATCCAGCACGAGGTTGTTTTCCTTTTGAGTCTAGCTGTCATCCTTGTTATTTTTCCTGCAGTGTTGCAAAACAAGTTCCATATTCTCATTCTGCCCATTCTCAAATACTTCCTCTATTTTTACTTGATGCTGTTTTGTTGCTTTTACTTTACTAAGAGTTAGAGCAGAGACTTCCATACCTGTAAATAGCTAGGCACCAGTGGTTCTGCCCAGCAAAGTGCTAGACCAGTTTTGTGTTATTCCCTGCCCTATTTTGGCATAGGGAATGAAAACAGAATGTGGACTTAAGGGTAAGTTTAGCCAAGATGAAAGAAAATTGATGGATGATATATAAAACATTGGGTGACGGATCTTGCAGTTAACGCATGCAGACTAAGCAGGATTAAATATCTCTTTATTCTGGCAGCAGTTGGGACTCTGGCTGTTGCAGCAGTCTGAACCAAATGACTGAGTTGTCCTTCCCCAGTCAGGAGGTTTGCTTCTTCCCAGTTACGACTTGCAACACGTGATTGGTTTTTACTTTGCTTCAGTAATTCTCATCTTTATCAAAAGTGCTAATTTCTTAAAATCTGTCAAAGTCTCTTCCTCTTTCATTGTCTTTTCTTAATGTTGTTTCAAGAGATCAGTAACTGGCTTTTCTGACCCCATCAGGTCATCTTCCTGTGTCCCAAACCCCCAGCTTCCACCCACACTCAGATACTTCCCAAAGTTGTATGGAACAGTTCTTAAACATTTCACAGAGATCATATGTGGAAGGATATTGCAAAAATGTAATGTATTTTCATGACTTCAATACAGGAACTCTGCAAATCTAGCTTTGCTGTGTTAAAAGGTTACTGCCTCGAACCCTGCTGTAGGAATTTCCAGTCCCTTAGCAGGTTTGGTAAAACTCAGTGACTTGACCCCGGATGTTGGCTTTTCCCCCGAAAGCATCAGGGTGTGAGCACAGGTTCTGTCTGCTGTCCCTGTTACCAGAGAGGTGGCCTTCGGTGGGGAGGTGAGATGCACAGCTATGTAGGAGACAGTCTCGCACCATGCTGGTAAGGCTTGGCAGAGCCCGGAGCCTGCTGCAGTGTTTTGGAAGCCTTGCAGTCTGGGAAGGGGGTTTTGGGGAGTGTGGTGTGTGGGCATGCTGGCCTTAATGCGTACCGTGCTTGACATTATTTGAGCACTTCACCTCTAAAAGGGGGAAGCAGAATAAACAATTCCATCCTGCAGCATGGAGCTAGCTCTCATATGACAGGGCTTTGGCAGGGGATTATCGGATTCAAGAAAATTAAATAGGTTTGGGAGAGTGTGGGTTGCTGGACACATTCTCCCACAAATAAACTCTTTTCAGCGTTGTGTTGTGACTTGGCTCACAAATAAGCATAACATTAGATGTTTAAGAAACTTATTTTTCTAAACTTTTAATCCTTTCACAGCTGGCAGAATATTTTTCCTTTTCTGTCTGCTTAAGGAACAGCCTTTTAGCCCACAAGACCTTTGATTTAAAATATCAGTGTTTCCTTTTTGATGGGAATTATGTTGTTTATCCTTCCTTCAAGAAGCTTTAGCTAGTGAGCAGCATCCTGCTGCTTTTGGGTTGAAAAGTATGTGTACGGGCTTCAGGAGCAGCTGTAGAAGGGAGGCGAATACCTGGCAGTGTGACTTTGAAAGGAAGAAGCTGTTGTACCGTAGGTGAGAAAAGGATTAAGGAGAAATGGGGGAGAAGAAGGGAAGGTGGAATGACAAGGATCAGAAAGCGTTTCATTCATTTTAGGTTGTCTTGCTGTTTGTAGAGTATTTGTGATTCAATCCTTGAAGTAATTGAATTGAACTTATGGTGCAGCGTTGTACACCGAAGTTGTACTCAACTTGACACATACAACATACAATGCATTGCATGCAGGACCTGACATAGTCATTTAAAAAAAACCAAACACTTATGTTCTTTTAGCTCCTGTTTAATATTAAAGAACAAAATGCTTAGCCAGTGTGCTAAGAGTTGTTCTTAGCCCTTTAGAACTGCATGTGATATGAAAAAGATTATAGATTAACTAAACATTTCACATTGTCCTTAACCTTGGCGGACAACAAAAATGCGAGTAAAACCTTTACTACTGAGTAGGAGTGTACCAAGACACACATCCTTTTTTTTTTTTTCCCATTGAGCAATTCCTTCCCTCCAGAACCCGTGACACTTCCAAACTGCACGTCAGCACAACAGAGAAGTGTATAATGCTTATTCATGGTGTTATAAATCTTAACAAGGGCTTCAGCTGATGTTGTAGCTGAATATAGAATATGATTACTTCCTGGGGGAAGTAGAATGTAGCCCTCTGACCCCAAATTGTCCAACACCAATAAAATAAAATTGGGTGGAGAAAAATGTGTTAATAATAATAAAAATATATAATATGAAAATAAGTTTAATGCTGTGCCTACAACTTTTGGCATAGTTTTAAGTCCATAAAATTTCTAGTTCCAGTGTAGTAATTCTTCTAAATTTGGTTTATATATGTAATACATAATTTGGTTTATGTATATAACGTTTCACAAGCAGAGCTATCTATGTGAAGTAGGTATGAAATCCTAGTATCTGTGTTTGTGTTAGCAAATGAGTTAGCAAGTTTAGGTTAGCAGAGAATCCTTTTGCTGGCACAACTTACTCCATGTTGTGGCTTAAACTTCTGTAGTTACAGATCTGTTTGTGTGGCCTGTGGCCTTAATTGTGGTGTAGTGAAGCATAAGAATAGATCTGATACTATATCCATGATCATACCTGCTCTGTAATGTGTGGCCTTGTATAAAGAAATATGTATGACAAGTTCCCAGATGAGACCAGAAGAGGCTTAGGCAATACTTGATGCATCTTGTAATGTTCTTAGGCAGACCTGTTAGAGTTCCTTGTAAAAGTTGATCAGGGATAGGAGGATTTTCCAACCTTCTTAAAATGATTCTCTAACCTTCAATCTGTTCTTTTTTTTTTTCCAGACCTTTCTGCAGCCCAAAGAAAATTTGCACATTCTCTGAGAGACTTTAAATTTGAATTCATTGGTGATGCAGAGACAGATGATGAAAGATGTATAGGTAGGTAAGAAGTGACTATAAATGGCTATGTTTTGCCATGACATCTTGGTAATGAGATTAAGCTTTTCTTTCTGTTTTTGTATTACAGATGCATCACTTCATGAGTTTTCAAACTTTTTAAAAAATTTGGAAGAACAAAGAGAAATTTTGGTGAGTTTCAATAAACATTTTAAAAAGCTGTTTGTGTAGCAAGGAATGAGCTGAGAGTTGCAGTTGCTTGCTGCTTTTTTAACCACCAGGCCATTCATATTGATAACTTAACAGGGGAAGCTCTCACTGTGCAGTCTTTGCTCTGTAGTTTGAAATTAGAGGCAGCAGCTACCTCTTAAAGAAGGCTATCGTGATAACGACAGATAATTATGAATTGGCTTAAAATGGTAGTACCCCAACAAGTTGTGGCTGGGGTGAAGTCTAAAAGCACCATGGTGGTTTTTACCTGTTACAGTAAAAAAAGCACAATGGAAGACACAATAGTACGTGCAGGAGGACATGTGAGATTGGGAAGCCGGCCAGACTAGGATCCAGGATCTCTGTGGCACCAGCTTCAAGATTCAGGTGTATTTGGGATACAGTCTCTTGGCTGGATGCAGTAACAGATTTACAGCCCTCTTCTTCATAGGCAGGCAGTCTGATGGAGACTTGCGTATGCGAACGTTTAGTTGCTCGGTTGTGTAGATGGGAGTGTTTGTTCACATATCTGTGATTGCTTAGGGTTTTAGTGTGATTGGGGTCAGGTTGGCTGCATGTCGACCATGGGCTAAGAGCTCTACAATGTGCCTTTGCTGTTTTAATTTCCTAACAGAAGATTTGCCTGCAGTGTAGGAGGATGTAGACAAGCAAGAAAGCTGGTGAAAAATTTTTGCAGATTTTTCTATCTGTGGCAGTCTTAAGCCCAATAATATTGATGTTATGGTATTATGTCCTGGTATGTTGTTTGGATATGGAACTGTATTTGGGTTGGGGCTAAGGGCTGTGTGGTTCCTTGCAAATTACTGCAGAATAGTGTCTTTATATATGAGACAACTTTTCAGTATCTTGAATTGCTTTGCCAAATCGTAGGGATTGCTCCAGTATGTAATAGTGCTGCTTTTGTTCCTTGTAATTCTGAAGTACAGCATTTGCTCTGCTTTTTCCTGCCAGCCACTCCTGTATTTTATTTTAGTGAAGTTACGTACATCTAATTAGTGAAATTCTTTGGGAAACTTCTGCAATGAAAAATACTTCCTAGCCTGTCATGCTATTTTCCAGTCTGTATTTTGATGTCAGGTTTTGGAGAGGACTTGAGAGTAATGTGGCATGTTTCAATGATGGTGTCAATAGATCTTCAGCAGTGACAGATTACCAACACAGTAGGCTTTGCAGAATCCAATGTTCTCTGTATAGTGAAAACACTTCTGTTTTTCAGCCTGAATGCCATAAAACAGTACTACTAATTTTTTGGTATGCTGCCCATGCTTACACAGAAGGTATTATCACACTGAAAGCTTATTCCTGTAAGTTTCTTGATAAGAAAAGTATGAAATGCAGTATCTTTTAGAACAGTGGTAGTTGGATTAAAAACAACAACTGGGGAGTATGAAATATGGTGGGCCAAATATTTAATTCCAGACAGAAACGATATGCTTTGAGTTACCAGATGTGTGGCCTGTTCACTGCATCTGTCATCTTGGAAATGTTATGTATCGCTTTTAGAGTCAGCTAGTACAACAGTGGGCATAAGTCTCTGAGAAAATGATTGTGTGGTGATTGGTGAAGATCATTTTCAGCTGCTGCTCTGACTTTTTTTTGACTTTTCAGTGTGTGTTTGAACAGTGAAATGAACTCTAGGGATACTCCCATGGAGAATAAGAGGGCAAATTGAACTCAGATGTTTGGAATCATGTCAGAGATCCAAACAGTTTCTATTAAGATGTAAATATGATAGCAGGATTGTTTTCAAAAGCATCCAGTCTCCTTCATGTTAGCTGTTTACTGAGTGTTTTTCCCCTGATTGTTTTGAAGGTGACCAGGAGGTTTCTGACTGCTCACTTCAGGCTCAATGTGCTGCAGTGTTTAGAGCACTTCAGTGCTCTAAGTGCTGCAGATGAGAAACTTCAGTCATATTAAATAAGCCTAAAGAAATCCATGAATAATTATGAAACTTAAGGCATTTCAGATATTGCTGTGCATTTTAATTTTTATGCATTTGAGAAGAAGGTTAAGTTTTTCTTACCCACATGGTAAATTAAATACAATTTCAAGTGTGTTTCATATGTGAAATGAGATCCTTATCACCTATAATTCTCATGTTTTTCAGAAAGTATGATGTGTGAAGAAGCTAGAGTCTATAAAACTTTGTTAGTGTTTACTATAAATTCACTTGGTTATTGTTTGTCTACCAAGTGTTCATCTGGTGGATATTTAATAATTTAATTCAGATGTTTGAGTCCTACGCTTCATGGTTGTATGACTTCTCCCACCCCTTCCAAAGGCTGCCAGAATCATGTCCCAGTTGTCAAAGGATTTAGTGGCTTGTGAAAGGGGAGGTCAGCCTTAATCCAAGCATTCCACTGAGCTGTTACGGAGTGGCCAAGATAAAAACAAATTACGCTTTTCCATAGCACCATAGCTTGGTGACATTCCTCAAGGCAGAGAGGAAAGAGGTCATTTTGTCCCTGAGGATATTCTGGAAGTGATTTTTTTTTTTTTTTAATGTGTTAAGGATGAGTAGAGTTCTAGAGCTTACATTCCATTCTTTTGGCAGTGCAGCAGTTTCATGGAAGTGCAGGGTTGAATGGGACCCTTCCAAGTTACGAGGAAAAGGTTGGGGATGAGCAGGCACCAATGCAGTGATGCTAAGATGCTCAGTCCTTCTGTCGAGCTCTTCTCCCACACAGCAGGGAGGGCAACAGCCCTCCCGCAACCCCAGTTCTCCTGACTGAAGCAGGTTTGAGTCTTTGTGATGTGGTGGGAACAACAGATTTGGCTCGCTGACCTCATTTAGGCTGTGCTGATGGTAGGCACCTCCTGGGGGTAGGGCATCCCCTGACAGCACTGATTGCATGACTGGTGTGTGGTTATTCCATTTCCTCATTTGTGGCCTTCCTTTTTACCACCTTTTATACTTCCCTTTCTTTCACCAGTCTTCTCCCAGGTGAACAACCTGCCCCTATCCAGCATTCTCTGCTGATTCTAGCTTTGGTAACTGATGCCCAAATGTGATGCTGCTCTTACTGTTCCCTCAGTTATCTCAGCAGTGGGTGGTACTTCTGTTGCTGTGACCCTGATGTTTGCGTGCTTCCACTCCCTCAGAGATCTATAGTGTTCCTCTTACTCAGCTGCCTGCGGAGTTCTGCTGTCTCTCACTTAGTTCCCCTTAACCATGCTGGTTAAGTCCAGGCAGCCCTCATGGCACCATCAGTAACTTCTGTCAGCTTCTCTCCCTGTTGGGTGCTGTGTCCAGTGATTTCTCAGGTCTGTCCAGTGGCTCTTCTCCTGTCCCATTAGCTTTTTCCTGTGTCAGCGCTGAGTGAGTTGGATGGATTTTGCCTGCAGCCCTTCAGAGGTGTGATTTGTAGTAGGGTCTTATGTACCTGGATCATCCCTGATAAGTGCTTGTCTAAACCGTTCTTTAAAAAAAAAAAAAAAAAGAAATTAAATTCAGGGACAAACTATATTTCTAGTTTCACTCTGAGGTTTAGTTGTTATTTTGTTTTTTTTCCCCAGATATCTGTCCTGTCTCCTTTTACTGCAAATTAAACTTATTTTTTTTGGCCTTTTCTACTGTATTCATGGAGTAAAACTCATCACTTTTCCTTCATAGGAGAATTTTCACTGTTACCCTTCCAAAGGCTGGAAGACTGCTACCCTTTCAAAGTAGTTTAGACATCTCTCATGTCAAAATTATTTGGAGTCCCGTTTTCTGAAGCTCTGACACTTTCTCTTGGATTTAAGTCACTCCATATGTACATTAGTCTGGTGGAGTTATTTGTAAGTCATTCCACAAATTGTTACTGAAAACTGGATCATGCAGGAAACTAGATTCTACTTCAAACATCCTCTTAGCCAAATATCTATTTCTCAACAGTTTTTCAACTATTTTTTTCCTTGTTCTTCTCATGGTTTATTTGTTAAGACCAGGTCACCACCTTTGCTTTTGAAATTGTGGGGTGGGTTGAAAAACTAATAGAGGAGGTTGGCTACGATGCTGATCTCAAACAGGAAATTGTTATTCTTCACCAATTCATAGTGTTTTACCTTCTATACCATTCCAGGACTTAGGAGGATTGGAACTGGAATGTCTGATCCATTCATCAGTTTCTGCATTTTCTTCCTTTAAAGCTGCTGCTGTTTGCTCTTCTGCCATGCTCTGGCAGCTTGCTACCTCTCCCCTTCATGTGCTTTGTTGTGCTCTTCAATTAATCTAAAGCAAAGCCTCTTCTAATTAAATGTAATTAATTCTTCATCTATGCAATATAAGAAGAATACATGTAATTATTATTAAGAAATCCTTACTCTCCTTAACATCCAGCTGTTCTACTTTGTTAGATGGCTTGTTAGAATTAACTGAGATATTTTTCTTCAATTATTAAGATTTAAATTTGTTCTAGAGTCAATTGCTTTTTTTCTTTTAACTCTTTCCAGTTGAATAATGATTTTATAGCTTCCCTTCCCACTGTTTTCTGAAATACCTATATATATGTGGATGTGTGTGTATGTATGTATATGTATGTGTGTGTATATATATATATATATATATATATATATATAAACAAACTCTTTTCCTCATGGTTTTCTTTGCTCCCTCCCAAATAAAACAGGTTTTTGCCTCAGTCTTTCTAACTTTATCCCAAGTAATTGTGCATTTCCTTTTTACTTCATCACATTTTCACTTTCGATGGCATTTTTGTTACAATTATATTCACCTCATTATGTTTCCTGTTAGTTCTCTAAGGCAATATGAATTTACTTTGATATGATCTCTTCTATTTGCTAGTTTTGGCACAATTTTATTCCTTTCAGTATCTCCTAGAAAAGATGGTAAGTTCTAATTTTTGAGCATGATATTTTTTAACTGTTTTTCATATTAAATAGGACTTTTTTTTTTTTTTACCTTTCATAAAACTGCTTGCAGTCTTTCCTCTTGAAAATCCTTTTGCATTTTCACCAGT